AATCTTCTTCAAATTACATTTCTGCCCCATTCAGATTTCTCTTGTCGGATCATTGTCTTGGTTGCAGCTCTACCCCCTGTTCCTCAAGGTTATTTTTTCTGGCCATTACAGCAGAGGTGGGTTTCAGCAGGTTCTGACCAGTTCTGGAGAACCGGTAGCGGAAATTTTAAGTAGTTCGGAGAACCGGTAGTAAAAATTCTGACTGGCCCCGACCCCATCAATTCTCTCCCTCCCAAGTCCCAGCTGATCGGGAGGAAATGAGGATTTTCCAGTAACCTTCTCCTGGAGTGGGGTGGGAATGGAGATTTTACAGTATCCTTTCCCTGCCATGCCCACCAAGCCATGCCCACCAAGCAATGCCACGCCCACCAAGCCACACCCACAGAATCGGTAGTAAAAAAAATTGAAACCCACTACTGCATTACAGATAATTAACGTCTCCATCCCAGGCTGGACAAGCGAAACATTTTGTGTTTTTGAACAGTAGCAGTGGATTTTCTATTATAGAACTAACCTTGGCATTTTTATATTTAGAGAGTCAGAAGTGACAAATCTGTCAGGGAACTGGAGTGAGGCTGCCTGAGAACTAATATCGGGTGTTAAAAGTTCAGCAACTTGGAAACATCAGGAGGAGGGGATGAGATAATAGAAATGGAAAATACGAATATAAACATGGATTGGAAACCTTTGTGATAGCTCTAGAAAAAGACAGTCTTTAACAACCTTTATCAGTTCTCTCCTTTTTTTATTGTTTTTCCAGTGCAGCTGTGAGGAATTGCAGGCAGAAAATGGAGAGAAGTAGGCCTCTAATTCAGCATGGGGGTGCATGTTAGATTTGAATAAAATATTCAGTCGTCCCAAACAAGATTTCTGCTTCAAATCCTGAAGAGCTGCTAATAGTTTTGACAATATTAATTTACCTGAAGTGGGGTTGGTGGAGGGGGAATCCTAGCAATGACAAATGACATCCATTGTGAAAGTACTTAATATATGATTTTCAGTTATCGATGACATCATTTGGGATTCAAAAAAATTATTAATTTTAACAAAGCATAAAATACAAAAATATAAAGAAAGATGAAGGTAAAATAGGGGGAGTAAAAGGGAAAGAGATATAAGTGTAAGGTAGAGGAGGAAAAGGGGAAAAAAAGCATTGACTTCCAACTCCTTTTGGTGCAGTAAAATAAGATCATAACATGAAATCTCAAGATTTATTTTTACAGTATATAGTATATACTAGCCATTTCTGTAACACCAAACCGATCTAATCAGCAAAACCTAAAATCAAAGTTTCATTGTTTTCCTCTTCAAGCACCAAGTCCAAAAGCTTTCCAAGTAGAAACAAAATTAATTGTGTTCTTTTCTTTAATCAAAGTAGTCAATTTAGCCATCTCTGCTAGCTCTAACAACTTTTGCAGCCATTCATCCATTGTGGGAATCACAGTATCCTTCGATCAGCATGTATAACATTAAAGTTCCCAAAAAAATTTCTAAGTTCTTTATCCATTAGACCTAAAAGAAAAATCTTTGGTTTTATCTTTATGTTCACTTTAAGAATCTTCTGTATGTCCACTATAAATGATAAAAAGTTCCTTCTTTACATTTACAATGACATCATTTAATCATTTCCTCGGCTAAAATATATGAAGAAAGATTGCAGGAACTGGGTATGTTTAGTTTAATGAAAAGAAGGACTAGGGGAGACATGATAGCAGTGTTCCGATATCTCAGGGGCTGCCACAAAGAAGAGGAAATCTAACTATTCTCCAAAACACCTGAAGGTAGGACAAGAAGCAATGGGTGGAAATTAATCAAGGAGAGAAGCAATTTAGAACTAAGGAGAAATTTCCAGAGTTAGAATAATTAATCAGTGGAACAACTTGCCTCCAGAAGTTGTGAATGTTCCAACACTGGAAGTTTTTAAGAAGATGTTGGATAATTATTTGTCTGAAGTGGTGTAGGGTTTCCTGCCTAAGCAGGGGGCTGGACTAGAAGACTTCCAAGGTCCCTTCCAACTCTGTTATTCTATTCTATTCTATTCTATTCTATTCTATTCTATTCTATTCTATTCTATTCTATTCTATTCTATTCTAATAATAGCTGTAACAGCCTACAATCAGCTACAGATCTCTAGCATCCTGGCATGTATACATTTAGCCATACATGTTCTTTTTAGCTCATATCATCCTGAATGTAGGAAAGAGAGAGAGAGCATGGGTTCTCATTGTTTGTCACTGTGAGAAGGAGGAGACAGTGCAGGAACTGGGTATGTCTAGTTTAATGAAAAGAAGGGGTTAGGGGTGACATGATAGCAGTATTCTAAAGGGCTGCCACAAAGAAGAGTGGATCAACCTATTTTCTAAAGAACCTGAAGGCAGGTCAAGAAACAAAGGATGGAAAGTAATCAAGGAGAGAACCAACCTAGAACTAAGGAGAAATTTCCTGACAATTAGAAATCAGTGGAACAGCTTGCTCCCAATGTTGTGGGTACCACAACACTGGAGGTTTTTAAGAAGACATTGGACAGCCATTTGTCTGAAATGGTATAGATCTCCTACCTAAGCAGGGGTTGGACTAGAAGACCTCCAAGGTCCCTTCCATCTCTGTTATTCTGTTAAAGTCTTCTGGGAGACAGAACAGGAGAAATGGATTAATGAACTTCAAGTAAAAATGGATGCTAGGCAGTGTTAGCTGCTAAATTGATGGGTATGAGGAAAAAGCTGGGGAAGACCATGAGTAATATTTACAAAGAAAAGTGAAAAAAAGGAATTGAAGAGGATGACAAAGAACAATTCTAGCTTTTCCATATGACTTTGAGGGGAATGTTAAAAAAAGAAAGAAATCAGCTGTGGAAAGAAAATGCCAGGGACAGAAGGTCACCTAGCCAGTACAATGAGACATAGATCTATCTGTGCGATTACTGAGAGACAACAAGGATTTGATGGCACATAATTAATCAATCAATAGCTCTCCTTTATATTTACTCAACTCTCCAAGTTGCATACATATACAATAGGTAATTGTACAAAATGCTTAGCCAGATTCAAACTTCTGGTTAAGGTAGAATTGAGAGGGATGGGAACTTGCTTGGGAGGAATTTTAATTTTTATCAAGCCATAAATAAATCTCAGCTTGGTGTTTGTCAGAAAATAAAGTTAAAATTAAAAGTTGCTTTATTGTGCTGATAAACACACTGACACACAGAGACACGCACACATACTGTACACAAAGAGAAAGAGAGAGAATCATACCCTATGGACCCACAAAAGCTTCTGATTATCTTACTACACAAGTTACCACTCACTACATAAATATTAGTTATACTATTTGTATGATTGTATGATGTGTTTGTCCTCATCTTGCTATCATTGAGACTTGTTATGGCGGCCTATGGACAGAGAAGTTTTTTTTTAGACGTTCTTTCCAGTGTTTCTCAACTTCAGCAAGTTTAAAATGGGAGGACAGCTGGCTGGGGAATTCTGGGAGTTGAAGTCGCCCGTTTTAAACTTGCCAAGGTTGGGAAATACTGCTTAGGCTACTTATTCCAAAGGACAACATTACTTTCCCCTGCTTTTATTAATTATGTCTTTGTTCACATGAGTCTCTGATTACTAGCCAACCTATTTTGGCCCAGTATGTCGGACAAACTTAGCTGTACAAAGTTAGTTATTGTGCACAGTCAGAAAGCTGAATAAACTATCATCAAGAATCAAGATGAAGAGTAATTGTGCATGGCAGCTTGCTTCATTCCCATATTTTTTTAATGTTGGAAGTAAAAGCAGGAGTGAAATCCAGCAGGTTCTGACAGGTTCTGGAGAACCGGTAGCGGAAATTTTGAATAGTTTGGAGAACCGGCAAATACCACCTCTGGCTGGCCCCAGAGTGGGGAGGGAATGGGGATTTTGCACTATCCTTCCCCTGCCATGCCCACCAAGCCATGCCCATCAAGCCATGGCCACATGAACCATAGTAGAACCGGTAGTAAAAAAAATTGGATTTCACCACTGAGTAAAAGGTATATTATTAGTTTGGACTCTTGACTTCTGATGGGCTGCAGGTAACCACAGTGATAGGAGAAATTTTTGACACCACTTGTCCCTATTTTTTGAGAGGGGTTTTAAAAGTTATAAATGGGAGGTAAACTTCTTCCATACCTATCTTTTACCATAATAAACTTTTGCCAGTGTTTGATGGCAAAGTGACTGAATTTCCAAAATAATATTTTAGAACAATATTAGGTGGGGCGGGGAGTGGTGGTAGTAAGAATAAAGGAATTGCCTCTTAGAAGTCTCACATTTTTATTCCTAGCTTTAATTATTTTGAATAAATAAGGATGGGAGAGAGAAATTTCACCACTCAAGCTTGATAACATAATCTCAGGAGGCCAGAGGACTGCAGATTGCTCAGTCCTTCTTTAAGTTCTGGAAATATGAGATTTGTTTTACTTTTCTGTCATCTCCAGGAAGTAAAATTAAATACGGTGGTTTCATATGGCATTTAACATATGGTATAATATATTTTCCAAGTGCTGTTCAGCAAAAGTCCATGCAATGTTAATACTAATTCCCTCTTAAGCATTTGGCATATTTTATTGCTTCCTATTCAGCATAGCTCAGTGATTAGTAATACATTTCTCCATAACTAATCTTTAATCGTCAAGTTTTGATTCCTCCACACCAGGCATTTAGTCAGATTGTAGAACTCTGGAATCAACTGGAAATCTTATTCAGCGTAAAAATATCTACATGTGCTGAAAATAATTGCCCACAGCTAAGCATGCATGTTTTCCAAATTCACTGAAAATAATAATGATAAATAAACACATGTCTTTATATAAAAAAAAAAAGCTGTCCCATAATCCCATAAACATCTGCCTTGGTCCATGGAGAAAAGTACTGAAGTTAGATAGGTTCCCTTTTTCAAACATATGTAATTTGCTCTTTTGAGTGCAGTGGCTTTGCCACAAAGAGATTCAAAGTATTTGGCTCTTTATTTTACAGAGATCATCTACAGCTGGGTATTTAACGCGTTCCCCTCCTTTGTGGCAGAAGACAGCAGGCGTTTCATCTCCCAGGAAACAGGCAACCTCTATATATCCAAGGTGCAACCATCAGACGTTGGGAGTTATATCTGCCTCGTGAAGAACACAGTGACAAACGCCAGGGTCCTTAGTCCTCCAACTCCATTAACACTTCGAACTGATGGTAAGTTAGCTGTTTCTCAAAATCGAAATGTATTGGGGAAGTGGGGAAGTTGTGTAGAAGTATAAGGACTGTTGTCTATGGAGATTCTCAATCAGCCAGGTCATGATTGTCCCAAAGGACAACTAGACTAAAAGGCAACTGGACTGTCTTGGTTTTTTTTCCTTTGAAAGACGAGTCAAAGAGGCCATCCTCCTTCAACACATGGGGAGAGATACGACACCACCTATCTCCTGTTTACAACACAGTCCTTTCAACAGACCAGGAAGGTTCCACACCCATTTGCACTCAGGTGACTCTGAGGCTACAGATAAATCCACTACTTGGCCTCCATGACTCTCAGAGTGCTATGACTAGAAAACTGCAAAGAATGTAAATTCGTTCATTTCCCACTAGTCACTTAAAACAAAACAAGCTTCTTAGATGAGAAGCCAATCATTTTGACTATTTCCAAGCAAAATGGGAAAATTGTGTAGCATTGCAAAATGTTACTTACTTGAGCAATTTTGAGAATGGAAGTAGAAACCTACATGGACATTAGTAATAACTATTAGTTTTGACGGTTGCATCTTTCATTACCAGTTACTAAGGAAAGAGTTAAAGACTCATATCATTTGGTGAGTTCCCATATGTTCAGTATTTTGTTGAATATTGAGTGTTGCAGAATGCTGGACTAGACAGACTTTTGGTCCAATTTATGACCAATGCTTAGGAATAAGCATTAAATTTCAGAGATGCACATAAATCCAGATTCAAAAGCCAACATTTGAGTCATATCTTGCATGGGTGTCCTTATAGCCCCAGTCAGGAACACATTATAGAGATTACATATTTTCTTTAGTATTATATGGTGGGCAATTGTGGAAACCCAGGAAAAAAAAGCTGCTTTAAGATGCCTCCAAAAATGCCATGTGTGCCGTTGAAATCACCTCTGGATATTAGAACAGAATGGAAACTAATTTAGGGGGAAATGGTATTTTCTAATATTTACAATGTATTTTATAAAACTGCAGAGTTATCTGGGCATAAAAAGGGTAAAAAATAAATAAGGGATCTGGAGATTAAATCGTAAGATGAATGGCTGAAGGAGCTAGGCATGTCTAGCCTATGGAAGAGAAGGATCAGGAGGAACATGATAAGGAGCATGTCTTCCAATATTTGAGGGACTATCACAGAGAAGAGGAAATTGACTTATTTTCCAAAGTACCAGAGGGCAGGACAGGAAGTAATGGATGGAAGCTCATTAAAGAGAGATAAACAGTATCCTTCCCCTGGAGTGGGGTGGGAATGGAGATTTTACAAACATCCTTCCCCTGCCACGCCCACCAAGCCACACCCACAGAACCGGTAGTAAAAAAAAATTGAAACTCACCACTGAAGTATACCCATCTCACTCTCACCTTGCATTATTTTTTTCTAGTGAAATCAACCATTGAAAATAATTACCTGCCCTCTTAGAGAAAAATTAGCACAAACTCTTATGCTTTTCCCCCCTTTTTTTTTCTGATGAGGAAAATAATTCAGAGGCAAATTTTCAAGAGGAAAATAGAACCCTCTTCTCAGTTCCAGGATCCCAGTACAAAATGCCTTCCTTGATTCCTGAATTTTACACAGCAACCTTCCTCCGTCATATCTATTTTGATTCACAAAGAAAAACAGCATGTAATAACAGTTACATTTCATAATAAAAATCGTACTTAATATTGAAAGACTAGAAGACGTTAGAAAGTTCTGGTTATACAACTTTTTCTATTTTTTTATTCACCTAACGCTGGGACAGAAATAGCTCTCATTAAAATACTGTATTTAAATACAAAAGAATCTCCAATTTGTCTAGCGAAAAGCTTTTCCCACCCTCCAAAATTGTCTCAGTTCCATTCCTTCAACCGATATCAAAGAAAGGAGAAAGTCCATCAATCCGTAACTTGAAGAGACCCTATTATGAAACATGTCCAAAATTCTGCTGGGAAACAAAACTCACTTTCTGGCTCAGGCAGCTAAAATAGCATGATAATTCATCTGGATTTGTTAATTGTGTTTTTTTAGTTTCATTTCAAATGAATGCCATTTTGACAGATTCTTTTACAGGAATGGTGCAGGCCACAGATCAGAAATCTAAGGTTCTTATTCCTTTTGTGACAAGAGAGACTTTATTATACAGTACCAACAAACCTCAAACAAAATGGATGATATCCACTTATTTCAAGTGGATCCTATCTTCAAGTTCAAGTGATCCTATCTAGATACATTATGCCAAAATTAGTTCTCTGGAGAGGTCTATAATGCTCAGAACAGTGGAAAGAAAGTATATTTCTGAATCAGAGGTGGTATTCAGCAGGTTCTGACAGGTTCGGGAGAACCGGTAGCGGAAATGTTGAGTAGTTCAGAGAACCGGTAAATACCACCTCTGACTGGCCCCGCCCCCATCTATTCTCTGCCTCCTGAGTCCCAGCTGATCGGGAAGAAATGGGGATTTTGAAGTAACCTTCCCCTGGAGTGGGGAGGGAATGGAGATTTTACAGTATCCTTCCCCTGGAGTGGGGTGGAAATGGAGATGTTACAGTATCCTTCCCCTGCCATGCCCACCAAGCTATGCCCACCAAGCCATGCCACACCCACCAAGCCACGCCCACAGAACCAGAAATTTTTTTTTAATCCCACCACTGTTCCGAATGTAAACAAATAAACAGAGTCTATGTGTATGTGTGTATGTGTTTGTCAATCTTTATACACACATAAAGTACACATATATACAATGCCCATCAATGATTGGTTTTAAGAATTGCCAAATTAGTTGGCAAGATAAGGAAGCAATATACAGAATAACTTTACAGAATACAGAATAACAGGAGTTGGAAGGGACCTTGGACTTCCTCTAATTCAAGACATTGTTCTAGCAGGAGACATCTCTGCTAACTAATCTTCCTTTGGATGCAGGTGGAACCATCTCAAATTCTGGTCTAGTTTCTTTTTGGCATTGTACTGTACAGTATGTGCATTGTACTCGGGGCGGGTTCTACTTACCTTTACTACTGGGGCCGCGCGCATGCGCAGAAGCATTTTAATGACGTCAGGATCAGTGGGCGGGGCCTCCCGCCGGTTTTATTACCGGTTCTATAGAACTGGTGCAAACCAGGGGCAACCTACCACTGGAGCAATGGAAGCTTCTGTACATGCGCAGATCATCAATTATGACGTCCAGGCAGATGGGCGGAGCCTCTCGCCACTTTTATTACCGGTTCTAAAGAACCGGACAGAACCAGGAGCAACCCACCACTGATTGTACTGTAAAGGAAACACCTCTTTGGAGGCCTGAATTACATCCTCTATAAACATATAGAAAATTGTAACTTCAAAACTGCAACTTTAGTATTTTTTTTTCTTGTTAACTTTGTTATCAGTCTGTCAATCTGTGGTTGACAGTTGTCAATTTAACAAAAGTTAACTTTGGACTTTTGTGTTTCAGAGGTGAAGAGTACTGCAAAGTCTGAAATACAGAATTGTCTGAGTTATTTTTTTAATATTTTTTTTACTTTTCTTTCAAAGGATGGACATAAGATGAGTCTACAGAGCCAAGGAAAAGATATAGCGGCAATTCCCAATGTTTTATCCCGGTTTTCATTGGCATGGTAGTTTCTATCATTGCTAGCCAATAATAACAGGTTGTGCTTGTCATCCAATAGCCTCTAAGAATTGAATGTTGGTAAGGGCTTCCATAGAACAAGAGAAATAATGGAGGGAAAAACAAGCCGGTAAAAGAATATAGACATGAGACAGGGTTATCTGTCAAACAAAAATAAAGCAAAGTTCTTTTAAGGCGGTCGTGTCAATGTTTGCAAACAGAATATTTATCAAACAGATTTTTTCACAAAAATGAAGAGACCTACATTTACAAACATCCAATTATCGTAATCCTTTCTGTGGCTTTGAATTTTCATGGATGACAACATTTTTTCTGGAATTACTTTTCTGTTGTAGTCAATGCAGTTAGGCCTTGGTATTTTATGGCAAGAATGCTGATGAGACAACATATCTATATATTTATCTTCATTGAGATAGCTGAATTACATTATAGTTTTATGTCAAATCCTACAAGTATAGACATTCAGTTGCCTTTATATTAATCTTTTATTTCCTTAGAGCTGTGCCGCAAAGGGAAACTTATTTTCTTGATATGAACCAAATTAAATGAAAACATCAAGAAATCCTTGAATGGATTCTGAATAAAATGAATAGCTCATTTGTGCAGATGTCCTTGACAATCATTTCTTTCTCACTATTCAATTTCTTTTTGTGCAGACCTAAAAAACAAAAGTTTCATCAGGAAAAAAAAAAAAGGATCACTCGGAGGAATTATTTCATAAGTGTTTACAAGCAATTCCAAGAGCATTTTGGAAGACTTTTGGAAGTCCCTGTTACCAAACTGGAAGCAGTTAAAGTGCCTTTACTGGGGGGGGGAAAGAAACCCAGAAAATTTGCAAAGGATAAGGAAATACAAATGTGATTGAGCTTACAACATTTGCTGTTTGATCATAAAGTGCACTTTTCAAGTTCATATATTTTTATGAGATTGTTTCCCCATTCTGGAATGTAGCCAATAAACTATTTCTTTCAAACTAAGCAATAAAGGCATGAAAGGTTGTTTTCTATGATCTTCAGTCAACATTTCCCAAAGATATGCAGAAAGATACATCTTTCCATGATGTTTCCAGGCTTTTCCATGGTTTTCCAGGGTCTTCAGTGTCTCTCTCCCTCTCTCCCTCCCCCCTTTCTCTCTCTCTCCCTCCCTCCTTCCCTCCCTCTTCCTCCCCCTCTCTCTGTGTATGTATATCCAGCTGGATCTATCCGGCTCGTGCGAACCGGTAGTGCCAGTGGCGGGAGGCTCTGCCCACCCGCCAGGATGTCATTACGTCCCATTTTTGACCCTCTGCGCATACACAGAAGAGGCGCATTCGCTCCCATTCCCGAACCGGTAGCAAAGGTAACTGGATTTCACCACTGAT